ATTACTAACTTTAATTTACAGAAAAAAAAGAAAACCTCTTGGCCATCTTCACCTCAACAGACGACGCATATTTAAAACACAAAATGGTTGTTGTTGTTGTTGTTGTCCTTTATGGATTATAAATTTTAAGCCATTGTAAAAAACCGACCGCAAAAAAATTTAAATAATAATAATAATAATAAGCAAGGATAAGTAAATCTTTCATCCGTGAATTTTCATCGGATGGCGCAAAACAAACGCAAGGACAAAAAAAAAAAATTAGATTACTCTAATCGAAATAATAATAATATTTCTATCTATAAGGGAAATAAAAATTCGCGAATAAGAAAACGACAGTCGAAATTTCTTTTTTTTTAACAGTAAATTTTTTTTTAAAAAAAATTTCTACATTGTTAAAACTCTTTCGATAGATAGTTAATACACCTGTACCTAAATTTTTATAAGGTGAAATTAATAAATCGTGTGCTAGTGTAAACCCTTAGGGGCATTAGTCTGCATTTCACTTATTTCTTTTTATTTTCTTTGTAAAGTAAACCCAACAACGAAAACACTTTCCACATTTTGAATTGAATTTTTTTTTTTAAAAATTCCAATAAACAGGTGGAGCGAGTTTTTGTCATTTCATTTAAAATAATAAAAAAAAACTTTTTTTTTTTTTTTCGACTATATCGAAAGGCGATATTTTTAAAATTCTTTTCCTGGAGATTTTTTTGTTTTTTCTTTTCTCATAATTATTTATTTAATAATAAGTTTGGAATTATTTCATTTAAAAAAATAATTAATAAAAATAACATAGAACGCCATCGGTTATTAAATCATATTAAAAAAAATATTTTTTGTGTACAATTAAAAAAAAAAAAAAAAATCACGAAATTAATTCGGGAGCATTTTTTTTTTGTGAAATATTTCCGTGAAAACCGTGTGGGTTCAAATTTAACAACGATTTAAGGTTTTTCTTCTTCTTACACGAACACGAACAACACAATTTTTTTTTTTTTTTTTTTTTTTGGTAGGCAACTGACCCTACCAAGAGAAAAACGTGATCGACTCTTCTTCTCCCTAACATTAATTTTTTTTTTTTTTTAAGGTCTTATTATTTTGTACTACTCTCACGGAAAAGTAATCATCAAACTCTGATTAAAATTTTCTTTTTTTTCTTTTTCTCTTTTTTGCTCGGAATTTCGTAGAAAAAAAAAAAAAAAAAAAAAAACTAAAATAAACTTTCCAAACGAATGCGTGAAACGGTTTTTACCCAAAAACGTAATAACAAAAAAAATTTTTTTAATTTTATGTGAGAATTTTTCAAACGGATTTTTACGTAACAATAATAATAATAATTATTATTATATTTTTACGTCATCAAATTTTTACAAACGTAATACCCATATTTTTATTAGTGAAAATTCACATTGAATTATTATCATTTTTTCGTTTTCGTTTGTCGCCATTGTAAGAAGATTTATTATAAAAAAAAACCTTATTATGAAAAAAATAAAAATAAATAAAATAAGTGATCTAAATTCGTTTTTCTTTTTCTTTTATTATTATTTTTGTGTTTATTGAACAGTTCACTGGTCGTCCGTGAACATCATCGCATTCCATAATAATAACAACAAGTTTTTCCATTTGCTCTTTTATTTTGTAAACTTAAAAAGAGGTGGTATTGTTTGCTATTTTTAAATTCGTTAAAAAGATATTTAAGCTCCGTTTAAAAACAGTACGTCATAAAACGTTAACGGAATTTTAAAAAAACAAAAGTAAAAAACTAAAAGTTGTGTTAATTACAACAAACAACTCGAGGAAAAACTTGGATGTATTACTACTACAGGTTCACTATTATTATTATTATTATTATTATTATTATTTTTTTTTTAATTTGATGCGAAAATATGTCACGTTTTAGGCTGTGTAATCCTTGATGCGAAAACGGTTTTGAAAAGAAAAAAATTTTTTTTTTTTTTAAACGTATTTTTAGGCAATAAAATATTTTTTAAACGTATCGACATCTGTGTGGCAAATATGATTTTATTTTTACTACTTTACATGTCACGAAATCAAAATATTATATTTCATATATTATATTTAACATTTAAAAAATTTTTCGAAATTGGCAAACAATGTCAGAGAAAATTATTGTAATGTCCTACACTTATAAGTATGAAAAAAAAAAAAAAGAAATTTCACTTTTTCTTCAATTATTATTCAAAATAATTATTATTATTATTATTAGAAAACTTGAAAAATAAAAAAAAATAAATAAATAAATAAAATGACAAAAATTTACTCAATAATCGATAAATTTTTATTTTTAAAGATTCTTTATAAACTTTTCATTAAATGAATTTTTTTTTTTTTTCTTTAACGACCGTACTTTAAAAACAACTTATGGTTTTCTTTTTTTTTAAACGTTAGTAATTTTAATACTTTAAAAAAAAATACGTATATTAAAAAATTTATGTTAAATATATTCATAAAAAAATAAATAAATAAATAAATAAACAAACGGTTTCACTCTCTTATTAAAATATAAGAAAACAATGCGAATAATTTTATTTAAATATTTCCTAATAATAATTAATTTCCCCCCATTATTTTAAACTATTACAAAATTTTTTTGTTTATTACTCAATTACTTTTTTCTAAAGAATAAAATTAAATTTTCGGTCGTAAAAATTAAATTTAAATTAAACATTATTAAAATTTTCCTCATTTCAAATAATCGGTTTACTTTTTATAATTATTTATTAAAAAAAAAAAAATTTTGTTGTTTAAAGTTTAAGTTTATCACACACTCTTGTGACTCTCTTGTTTGTAAATTATTTTTTTTTTAAAGCTTCACTAAATTATTTTTAACTTAAAGGGAAACTTTTTTTTTTTTTTAAAGTTTAGTATTGTACTGTATGATTTTAAAAATAAATTAACTTTATTTCACATCGGTCTATTGTTTTAATTTAATTTTATCCTCATTCAAAAAGTATTTTAAAGTTTCACTTAACCTTTGATTGATTTAAAAAAAAAAAGAAATTAGCAAAACAATAAGTTGTACTACGTTTACTAACATTTTTAAACCCTTTTAATTTCTATTAATTAATATAAAAGTATTTGCCAACATTTTTGTATAAATTAAATTTGTGGTTTTTTTTCCAACCAACCTTAACTTTTATGAATAATTAAATGCGTTAATGTTTGCATTTACATTATTCAATAAAAGTAGGTGGTAGTTTTATTAATTTTATGGTATCAGTTAAATGTTTTTCTGGAATTACAAATTAAATAAAAAAGGTACTAATTCATTACTAAAATGGAAAAATACCATAAAGACATTTCCTATTAACACCATTCAAAATTGTGATGACATTAACAACACAACAGTTTGTATAATAATAATAATATTTAAATTACATTTTAATAACAGATTTTGAAAATGACAAATTTTAATAAAAAAAAAAAAAAAAATGACTGTCGAAGAAATAAATAAATGATTTATGTTTTTAATTCATGTCAAAAATAAAATATTTATTTCTGGTATACCAATAAATTAAATTGTTGAAGCAAAAATATTAATTAATTCACATATCAAACATATTGCATACATTCGAGATTTATTTAATTCTTAATATGTATATGTATTTGAGGAATTCAATCAATTTGAATCAAAATTTGACTAAACCAAATAGTTTTATAGTTAAAATTAACAATATATTATTGATGTTAATTTTATATCTAATATATAAAAAATATTCTTTTCAAAATTTCAAGTATTTATTGGTTTTCGATTAAAAAATAATGATGCTTTGAAAAATGATTTTTGTTCATTTTCAAATTTTGTAAAAATTTTTTCTTTATAAAAATAATCTGAACCAGTAAAATATATATATATTTAATTGAAAATTGATTTTCTTTTACTAAAACTACTTTGAATATTTTAATTAATATTAATTAATTATAAAATAATTTTTAAGAAAAAAAAAAAAATTTAATAAAAATTCTTGTTTTGTAGGAATTTTATAAGCTTTCACTTTTTTTTTTTAAAAACAATAATTAATTAACATAAAACTAGCAAGGTGAATGTACAATGAAATTGTGAAACTACAATATATATTCACTTTTTTTTTTTTTTAAATAAAAAGAATTTAGAAAATTTAAAAAAAAAAAAAAAAAACTTCAATTATTTTCAAACGTTTGTTTTCAGGTCATTAAAAATTAGCTTTAGGCTACGGTAACGTTATGTGATGACAAAAAAGACAATTTCATAAAAATATTACCGTTAAATTAACCGACTAAATAAATAATTATTTAAAATTTTCATCGTGATAAATACGTATTAAAATTTAGAATTAAAATAAAAATTGAAAATACGTTACGTTTGCTATGGAATCTCAACTACCCGTTAGAATGACCTTGACCATTGCAAAAAACCAACCAAAGAGTATTTTGTGTAGATTTTTTCAAAATGAAATGGTTTTGTTTATGAGATTATATTGTGAATAATGAAAGAACTTTTAAAGAATGACAATAGTGAATAGTTATTTTTTTAATAGAGTATTGAAGTAAAAGTGTTCAAGCCATACCACTCCCAATAATTTAAAATTACTTTACCGCTAACGGGCTGATTGATTATCCAAGTGGTATCCACAATTGAGGTATCCAAAATTCCAAAAAATTTATGAATTTACAACACATTCACTTAGACGATGTTTAAAACACATTTAAACATTTACTCCCTTACTTAACCGACAAAATTTACTAAACAACCGTTCATAGAGTTTCAAACAACTGTACACGATTACACAGTTCCAAACCCAAACGAAACTAATCCAGCAGGTTGTTGTGCAAGTGCGCATATTCCTTAATATTCGACTTGTTTCTGAACTGAACCATAGCAACTTTACCGCCATTTTAGTATGTTGGAAGAATAATAAACAAATGGCGGACAATCGTGTTCGATTTTAGAAGGTTATGTAATTTTATTGTACTATACTATCGTTAATATTTTTAAAATGGTAAAGCTTCATATTAAGAAAGGAGACGAAAGTCAATTTTTATTTGAAACAAATGTTGATGTAGAAATTGACAAGCTTATCGAAGAATTAGTTGCTATTTTTAATGGTCGATTAAAAATTACCCGGCTTTGTTATGAATTGGAAGAACTTGTTAAACATGGTACTTTTTTTCCACCTGAAATTCTTGGCTTGACTGATGAACAAGTTGAGGAATTGCATTTGGTTGATGAATGGGGAGATAAATGTGTTCCAAGTGGAGGATGGACTTTTAATAAAGATCCCATTGGTAGAAGAAATGGTCATCAACCTAGTGAAGCCATGCAAAAAGTTATAAACAAAACTATGGAAGAAGCTAAAGCTTTAATTTCGAATAAATTAGTTCAAAATAATACTAATTTAACTTTAAAAATGGTTCAGTCTGCTCTAGACATGCTTCGTGGAGCTGTTACTATAGTTTATCCTATGGGTCTACCTCCCCATGACCCCATTAGGCAGGAATTGGAAAATAATGAAGATTTAACTGGCACTCAAGCATCTTTAGATGTAAGTTTTTTATAAATAAACACACTTTATTCTAAATTTTATTTTTAATTATCATTCCATATTCTAAAACTAAAATTTTTTGAAATTTATTCGTTAATTTACTTTTGAATTTTTTTTCTATTTAAAATTATAGGTTTTAGAACCATCTAGGACAACTATTTGGTTTAGCGGTAAAGAAATGATGAGAGGGAAACCACTTCATGCATACATTGGGAAAAATGAAAAAACTAAAGTAATAGTTAAGTTGCAGAAAGTTGGACAGGGAGCTCCTCAAAGAGAGCCAGTAATGTCTGAAGATGAAAGGAAAGCTATGATGTTGCATGCATACAGAAGGCAAGAAGAGCTCAAAGTAAGTTAGATTTATTTTTTTATTATTATCTTAAGTTCAAATAATAAACTCTCAGCAAACTCACAGTAATTGAATACCTGAAGGGGGGGCTCAACATATTTATCCAAAATGCTGTTTGTATTTTAAGATGTGTTTCGAAAATCAATTTTTGGGGAATAATTAAAGGAGCAAAACAATTTATAAATAATGATTATGTATCAAATAGTAATATTTTTTCTTGACTTTACTTAAATATCATATTGCACATTTATCTTTTAACCAAAAGTTTAATAACATTCTTCTAACAGAAAAATTAGCAAAAAAAAATTTATAGATTTTGGTTACATTTTACAAAAAGAATTTTATCTATGTTTTTTCTATAAATTGGTCATTTTTAAATTAAGATTTTTATGAACACCTATAAAAAAAGTCATTATCAGTAATTTATAAAATTGGCAATTTCAAATAGAAATGTTTCTTATAAAAAATTTTAGTACAGCATCAAATTTTGGCTTTGTAATGGTAATTAGTTTTCAATATTAATGTTCAAACATTAGAATGAGTAGTACCTGACAAATATTTTTTTTATCGAGCACCCTGCGATTTACCTATTCTGAATTGTAATTTAACAGTAATGGCTATAGAACCATAGCTCCACCATTATTTCCTTGAGATTTTCTTACGTTATTTTTTTGATTTTCGCCCCCCATTTCTTCAAATTCATATTCTTCTTCGTTGTCGAATTCTTTAATAACTTCTTTTGTTATCGTCACTCTGTTCCTGTGTCTCACTCTCGCATTTTCAAATAGTTCGCATCGAAGTACGGTATCCTCTCCAACTTTGACAGACCTAGTTATCATTATTAACGTTACAAATGATATGATAAAAAAAACAGACGGTATTACGAGAGCGATTAAAAACTCCCTCCAGGTTTTATCGAGATCGAATCTAGCTATGGCCTTTGCCGAATTTTCCTGCAAGTGAATAAAAACCATTGTGTAGAAATTTATTATGGTTATTTATCGATGGGGCACGAGCGAGAAACAAATTCGTACCTTATTGTAAAAGCAGGGAAATCTAGAATATGCCGTTCTATTTCTTCCATCTTTGCCGTGGGTTGACAAAAATTCTTTGCATTCTCCCTTTAAAGTATTTACGCAGCCGTCTAAATTAATGTAAAGTCTGCTTATGTTGTAAATGGTTAAAGATTTTTGATCGGGTAGAAATTCATCCGTTGTATCAAATGATTTTGTACTGTTATGGTATATCGTCCAAAATAAAGTATGATTGATAAATGGAGTCGGAATCGAAGATTCTGGTACAAGGGTTCCATTGATGCAATCGTTCCCTCTAAATATAAACGAAAAAAATATTTTTTTTTTCAACGGCAATTTTCAAGTTTTTTTTTTTTTTAGAAAAACATTTTTTCCTGAATTTAATAATGCCATTAACCTTAAAATATATTTATTGCCCTTTTTCCTAATTACTATTATTATTATTTTTTTTTTTGTAAATTAAATACTCCACCCTGTGCGTTTTTTTCAAAAATAGAAAGAAAAGAGAATCAAAAAAATTTTTTTACCTTAATGTCATGTTGTCGACCTTATCAACTTTTGTACAGGACACAAAGAGAACATCACTGTACCTTTCTTCTGACCAAATTTCTTTTTTAGATTCCTCATCGCTGAACATTTTTTGACAATCCAGCGAATAAACGTCGTTGTCGTAAGATATGTAAACGTTCATACCTGAAGTCGTAATTTTTTGACAGTATCTGTCGCACGTCATTGCCTTTTTAATTTTTGCACACCTCGAATTTTTACATTCGAAAAATCTAGTAAAATAAAATTTCAAACTTTACAAAAATTTTTAATTCAAACTTGAAGGGGCGGAGGGAGGGGTGGAAGAAGGGGAGGAGGAAAAAAAAAATTATTATCAGAGTAAAATATTACTGGGGGGTGGGAGAAGGAGGTGGGAGGAGAGGAGGAAATGAAAAACAAGAAATAAATCCTTTTCAATTAGGAAAAGAAAATTTTATTTTTTCTAAATAAATTATAATATTTGCGTTTGTTTGTTTGTTTGTTTGTCAACGAATTGAATATATTTATTATCGTTTTTGATTGAATTCGATTGATTATTATTATTATTATTATTGTTTTCTACTCCGAAAAATATTATTTATTCGTAATTGATGATGATAATTTTTTTTTTCTATGTCGTTTGTTGAACGAGTAAAACGAATTAAACAGGTTTTTATATTTAAAAAAAAAAAAAAAAAATGTTGAATTTCAAATCGTTAAACTCTTAATGATATTAAAAAAATTTTTTAAATTGAAAAAAGAAAAAAAATACATAAACGAAATTAAAGTCCTTTTATAAACTGGGTTAAAACTTTGAGTTTCACGCAATCTTTATAAATATCAATAATAAAATAGGTTATGAAAAAATGTTTTTTTTTTTTTTTTTAATTAATTTATTTTTTTTTACACAAAATCGTTAATAGGCTTTTTTATTAACAATTTTTTTCTTTTCGAGAGAGAAAGGGAAAATTATTCAAAATGTTTTTATTTCCTTATAATAGAATTTTTGTAAAGGAAAAGTTTAGATTTTTTTGCATTAATATACCTGTTGCATTAAATTGCATTTGATTTATTGGACAAGAAATTAAATATTTAAAGTTTTAATGTTTTCGTTTAGAAAATAATGTGTTTGATTGTATGTAGTAATTACAGAATTAAAAACTTTTTTTTTTTTTTAAGAGTAGTTAAACGTCGTTAAAAAGTCACAAACGCGTTTTTATTTGATGTTTTTTTTAAAAAAAATTAAAAGTTAAATTCGTATCAGAAACACAAAGAGAAAAGCACGAATGAAATGGGGGAAGGGAAGGAGAGGGGAAGGGAAAAATATGTGAGGGTTGTTAGATTTTGGTGACAGCCTACCCCGGGAACAAGGAAAATATAAACTACGTTAAAAGGTACCATTAAAAAGGTTAAATCGATTTATTTACGTCAGGTCATTTTTTTTTTTTTTTTTTTTTTTTTCATTTCATATCGTGGAAAATTGAAAAAAAAAAATTTTTTTTTTTCCCGGCTCGTGTGTAAACTAAAAATGCACGAAAAGTTTTTCTTTTTTTTTTTTTTTTTTTTTATTATCGTTTTTGAAAAATTTTCCACTTTGACTCGTAAAAGAAAACTTTCAAAGCAATAGGAAATTAATTATTTTCTCATCGAATGAAATCGAAGAAGAAAATGTTAAAAAAGGAAAATTTTCTTTCTTTTCTTTTTAAATAATTAAAATTTTAAGAGGGGGGAAAAAAACGTTAAATTTAAATTTTTGAGATTTTCTCTTAATTTAAATTATCAAGTCAATAAAAAAAAAAAAAAAAAAATGAAAAATTAGTCGTCGTCGTGTCACGATGAACTTTTTTGATTTTGATGTAACTTTTTAAAAAATTATATTTTTAATGATAATTACCATAATTTAGAAATTTTTTAGTTCGCGGGGGTGCGGGGAGAAGGGAAGGGGAGGAAAACAAAAAAATTATATGAGAAATTGTAAAAATAACAAACATACCCGTTTAATTTCGTGTTATCTTTTTCGCTGTCGATAAATATGGATTCCGTTTTATAATCGCATAAATATATTTGCGATATGTTAATGCAATGTCCTAAAGAACAATTAAATAATCCCGTCAGCGAATTACATTCTTTACCGTTATTGCAATTGTATTTGTGAAGGGTTTCTGGTTTGGCCTGAAACCAATAGAAATGAAACAAAAAAAAAAGTTTATTGCTGTTATTTTACTTAAAAACTAAAACTAAAACTAAAATGAATAATTATTACCGGTGGACAAGAACTCCTACTCATTCTCGAACAATTTTCCAATATCATATCCGTTCCATTTTTTCTGACGGTGACGTGAATTTGCGGACAAAATCCTGTTGTTTTTGTCAAACACCATTCTCCGCACGATGCCCAAGAGCAATTATTGATCATAACAGTTTCGACGGTTTGACAAGTGACCGGAATCGTTTCGAAACCAGATTTAAAAGCTCTAAACGAGGGCATATAAATTGCCACGGAAAGGTAAATAAATGCGACGAGACTTAAAACGACCGTTAATTGACATGAACATATTCCGGCGACGAGTGCTTTGTTTTGTTTTGGTATAATACGCTCTTTATTCTCTCTTCTAGGCATTTTCTTCTCTTTCCGGACCTTTATTACCATTATTATTATTAATTAATAAAATAATGAACCTTAATTAATTTTTGTGAAAGTAAATTGAAAAAAAAATAAAATAAAAAAAATTAAACGAAACGTTATTGATAATAACCATCTTTACACGAGGTCGTTTTTGTTTTATTTATTTATTTATTATTATTATTTCTTTTCTTTTCGTTATTATTGAATATCATCTTATTTCTCAGTAGCAAAGCGGGAGAAGGGGGGTGGGGAAACAACCGAAGTACGTTTGTATGAATTTTTTATTCGAATTTTAAAATTTTAAACTTTGTGCGAGATTGATGATGAGATTTAAATGAGTTTTATTAAAAAAACAGAACAGAACAAAAAATGGGAAAGCGCCATTGAGATTTTTCATGTTTTATGATGTTTTTTCCCGTACGTTGTATTATTATTATTATTATTATATATTTCAGTTTCATAATATCAAGGTTTACAAAAGAAAAAATTTTATTTTTTTTAAATATTTTACCGTCAATTTAAAAAAAAAAAAAAAAATTATTGTTATTAAAAATTAAATTTAATTTCAAAAAGAAAAAAGTCGAAAGGAAAAAGGTGGAAAAAAAAAAGAAAAACTGGAAAATAGGAAACTCGCTTTTTTTTTTGTTAAAAATAAAATTTTAAATATTAATTCTTAATTCATAAAATCATTTAAAAAAAAAAAAGGAAAAAATTATTAATAAT